CTCCTCATGGTTTGATGAAGTAATCAGCCATGTTGAGAAAACCCACAGATGGCCTCTTAAGAGCTGAGGGCAGCCGCCAGCCAGCAAGATGCCAGGGTTCTCAGTCCTGTAACTGCATGAAAATGCATTCTGCCAACTACGTGAGTGATCTTGGAAGGAGAGTCTACTTTAGGTAAGCTTTCAGATGAGAACACAGACTGCTGTTCTGACTGCGGTCTTCCGAGGACTTGAGTAGAAGACAAACTTAGCTGTGCTCCAGCTCTTGACTCAGAAGCTGTGACATACTAAATGTTTGTCATGTTAAATTGCAGAGTTACTGGTAATTTGTACACACTAATAGAAAACTAATATATCACACCATCTTGGTTTTCCTTGCTTGAAGTCGAGTGAATGCTTCGTAAATGGCAGCTGCTATTACGATACTCAAAATGGAAACTTGGAATATCAGAGTCAAGGAGAAAGATAACAGAGAAATTTAGCAGACTTAAATCATTGTTTTCAAAGTTATCAAGCAGCTGAAACAGAAGACAGGTGCTAAGTTGAAAACTTTTAATTATTGAGTGTTTTATTATCATATACTGTAAAATTTCTAGTGGTGATTACCCACATTTAGTTGTAACATCTTACACCATACTTAGAGTTAATTGGAAAGTTTTCCTTCAATAGAATAGTCATATATTAGGGAGAAATATCAAAACAGTTTCAGTTTAGAGCCATATTGTTATAAATTATGATTTTTAAACATTTTAAAATAGCTTAGATATGATGGACTATAATAATAATTCAGGACACTGGATCAAACAACCCTGATGGAACAACTCTCAGCCTGATACTTTCTGTTCATGGGTGTACATGGTTTTGACTAACCTAAGATAATTTTATTTGGCATGCATGGGCATTGGGTGCAGACAACTCATCTGGGTGTCTGGGTTTGAGTCCTGGCTCTGCTCTGCTTCCATCTTCCAGACTTCTGACTTTTGCATTTGGGAAGTAAACCAGTGGGTGGAAGATCTTTGCTGTGTCTGCTTTACAATAAAAATAACTAATGTTTTGGCCGGCCCCGTGGCTCAATAGGCTAATCCTCTGCCTTGCGGCGCCGGCACACTGGGTTCTAGTCCCGGTCGGGGCGCCGGATTCTGTCCTGGTTGCCCCTCTTTCAGGCCAGCTCTCTGCTATGGCCCGGGAATGCAGTGGAGGATGGCCCAAGTGCTTGGGCCCTGCACCCACATGGGAGACCAGGAGAAGCACCTGGCTCCTGGCTTCGAATCAGCGCGGTGCGCCGGCCGCAGCGCGCCAGTATACTGCAGCGGCTATTGGAGGGTGAACCAACGGCAAAAGGAAGACCTTTCTCTCTGTCTCTCTCTCTCACACTATCCACTCTGCCTGTCAAAAAAAAAAAAAAAAAAAAAAACCACCCAAAAAAACCACTAATTTTTAAAAGATTATTTATTTACGCAAAACACCCAATGTATTTATACATATTTGACTGTTATATGGATTAGAGAACTTGAATGACTTTCCAGTTGACAGTCAAGGTTTATTATGGAAAACAATGAGGGCCAGGTGCTTATATCTTACTAAACTGCAAAATTATTTCTCTACTTGTTCCTTGTACCAGTGCCTCCTTTCTTTGTATTTATACTGAAACGTGAATGTACTCGAATAGTTTCTGTGAAATGAGTTATTAACAATGGCAGTAGTGTTCATGGGGTAGATGTAACCTCACTACTGTGACACATACAAAAGTACTCTGAACATATGGTAAATGTAAGCATATATAGGCCTTTTATGAGGGTACTATGGTGTTAGAACTTGTCATTCTCTCTCTCATAAGAATATATGACCCTGATGACTATCACCTTTCATGATTCTTAGTAAGTATAGTGAATATGGCAAATACAATGTTAGTGATTTGGTAGCTAAATATTTTCTTCATATTTGCTATTTTGAGATCAAAGAAACTTCTATCAGTTTCTTAATTTTCTATCCTCTGAGCTTTCTGGAAATGAATACTAATAATATATCTATACATTTTTATTTGTAATTTGATTCTTTCTAATACTGGAGTGATTCAAGTGATAGCAAGTGAAAATATTAGTTAACTGAAAATTTATTTAACTTTAAGTTACTTGTTTATACTTTTTGTTTTCAAACCTGATCATCAGCCTTTACTTTTCTGTTTAGGTTCAACATTATGAGTTGTTCAGAGGAAAAGGAAAAGTAAACATTGTGCTGGATAACTAAAAGAACTAAGAACAATACTCAATGTGTATTTTCTTCTCATGTTATCAACAGGTAGATAAAGAGGAGGCAAACCAGTTTGTCTTGTTTTAGTGTCTGGAGACTCCCAGTGATTACCATTTAATCCAAATGTCAGCTTGGTAACTTTTTTTGGAACAAGGTGGGGAATAAACATGAATTATTATTATTTTTTAAAGATTTATTTTTTATTTGTTTGAAAGGTAGAGTTACAGAGAGAGTAAGAGACAGAGAGAAAAAGAGAGAGGCAGAGATCTTCCATGTATCTGCTGGTTCACATTCCCAATGGCTGCAATGTCTGGGGCTGGGCCAGGATGAAGTCTTTCACTTAGGTGCAGGGGCTCAAGCACTTGGGCCATCTTCTGCAGCTTTCCCAGTCATTGGAATGCCAGCGTCGTAGGTGGAGGCCTAACCCACTATGCCACAATGCCAGCCCCAATATGGATTTTTTTTTTAAAGGCTAAATCAACCAGAATTAGGGTAGCTTTTTCTTTTTTTTTTAAGATTTATTTTATTTATTTGAAAGGCAGAGTTGAGAGAGAGAGAGGTTGATTCTTCATCCACTGGTTCACTCCCCAAATGGCTACAATGGTGGGAGTTTGGCCACACAGAAGCCAGGAGCCAGGAGCTTCATCTGGATCTCCCATGTGGGTGCAGGGGCCCAAGCACATGGGCTGTCCTCCACTGCCTTTCCCAGGCCCATCATCAGCAGGCAGCTAGATTGGAAGTGGAGCAGCTGGGACTTGAAACGGTGTTGTGGGTGGCATCTTAACCTGTTTCACGACAATGCCCGCCCCTCACATTTTTAATTGACAAATAATAGCTTATATTTCTGGGATACAGTGAATAATTTTGATACATGTATATATTGTAGAATGACTAATTCAATTTAGTTAACATACCATCACATCATCTACTTTTTTTAATGGTGAAAATATTTAAATTCTATCTTGGCAATTTTGAAATTACATTTTTTTATAAACTATGGTTTATAGGAGTACCAAAAGGTACTCATTCTTCTTGTCTAACTGAAACCTTGTATCCTTCGAACAACATAAGCCGGTCCCCAGCCTCTGTTCATCACCGTTTTTCGTTTTTTCTTTTTATCTCATTTTTTTATTTAAACATTTATTTATTTGAGAGGCAGAGAACAGGGACAGAGCTCCCACCAGCTGGTTCATATGCTGGAAACTCAATGTGGGTTCCCAGGTGGGTGGCAGGAACCCAGCAACCTGAGTCATCACCAGCTGCTCCCCTGGGTCTGCAGCAGTAGGAAACTGGAAGCAGGAGTGGAACCAGGGCAGGAACCCAGCACTGCCATACAAGACTCAGGCATCTTCACTTCTAGGTCAAATGCTTGCCCTCTGCTAACAACCATTCTGTTCTTTGCTTCTGTGTAAATTCATCTGATTTTATAAGTGATCAGGGATTTATGAGGACTTACTACTTTATAGTTAAATTTACTTCATATTGGAAATTTATTTTCTTACCTGCCTTGTTACAAAACCGTAGAGAATTAAAGTTTGAAAAAATAAAATGTAAGCTGTCTCATTTTTTTTTTTTGGTTTTGTGTCTTTCCCTTCCTCCAGCTTTAGCATCTTTCAGAAAGAATGGTGTTTGAAGCTTTCAAAGTGATTTCTTAGAAGTGAAACTCGAGTCAACTTTGCTTTTCAGTTCCCAACTGTAACAGTTACATTTTCACTTTTGATTTGTTGAAAAGCAGCCTTATAAGTGCCTGAAACTTGCTATTAGGCAAGTAAATAGTTTCAAAATTGAACGAAAATCTTCCTAAAATGAAGACATAAGCAAGCAAATGATTGAGGATTTAATATATATATACATATTCGAACACACACATACACACATATTAAGGCACTACCTTTCTTGTGGGTTTTGTTTATTAGTTTAAGTGCTCTGACACCAAGCTGAACTAGAATACTGGTAAGACTCTGAATTAGAGGGGCTAAATGCACTATCCCACACTGGAAAACTGGGTTCCAGTCCTGGCTCTGTTCCTGATTCCAGCTTCCGCTAATGTGCACCCTTGGAGACAGCAGGTGATGGCTCCAATACTTTAGTACCTGCGGCCCCGGTGGGAGACCGGGGTGGAGTTACTGGCTTCAGGCTTTGGCCTGGCGAAGCCCAGGCTATCCAGGGCATGTGGGGGGTGAGGCAGCAACTGAGAGATCCCTGACTCTCTGTGTCTTTCAAAATAAATAATTTTTAAAAAGTATACACAAATAATCAGGATTAAGAAGTATTAATAAGAAACACACGCATACTTCAAGCATCTCAAACAGCAGGAATACCTGACTTCTGTACCAGGGAAGCATGCTAGGTGCCTGGCTGGCTGGCTGGCCGGCCGGCCTGGAATTTGGGAGAGTTGGAGGAGGACTGGGTGATGGAGCGGCCTCCAGGAGAGGCAATGCAATTTTTTAGAGTCCACTGGGTTGTTGGGGGGAGGGGAGAGGCTGGCCTTTAACCTTTGAAAAGGCAATTATCTGGGAAACTGAGCAACATTTACTTGAGGGGAGTGAAAGGAGACTTGGAATTCGTGGTAGTGTCTGCATGAATAGATCCTGGGAGGTTTGGGAACGTTTGGATTCGGCTGGTCTGGGGGTGGGCGCGGGCCACGCTCAGGGATCCCGTTCCAGTCTCGGGGAAAGCGGAAGGCGGCATCTGGGTGGTGGTGGGGGAGGGTCGTGGGGGGGGGAGGGGAGTTCGGCGCGAATTTGTCCTCGCGAGCGGGTCTATCAGACGAGGCACACGCGATCCGCGTAGAGGCCAGGCTCCTCAGGCGCCGGGCGCTTCCTCCGGCCCGGGCCGCGGCCCTCCCGCCCCGGCGGAGCCGCGCGGTGGATTGTGGGCTGGGGGCTGCAGCGGCCTCGCGGCAGCCTCCGGCGCTATCTGCCCGGAGCCGAGCGGGCCGACCAGGGCCTGGCCGGCGGGGCAAAGGCGAGGCAGTGGAGCAGGGAGCAGAAGCGCTAGGGGCTGTGTTCGCAGCGCGGCGGCGGCTCCCCTGGAGGCCGGGAATGTGGGAGAGGCGGTGGCAGCAGCGGCGGAGGCGGCGCTGCGGACCCGGGGGAAACTGCTGGCTGACAGGACACCCGGGAGAGACGTGAGGGAGTCGCCGCTGCCTCCTCTCACCTCCGAGCGGAGCTGGGCTCGAGAGGGCGGCCCTGTGCTTCCCGGGCCGACCGGCCAGCGGGCGCAGGGCAGGAAGCCGGGCTCGGGCTCGGGCCCGGCCGGGCTCCGGGCGCCCGGCAGCCGCGGAGCAGCAGCCTCGGCGCGACGTGGAGGGCTGGAGGCGGCGGCGATGCACTAGGCCTCGCTCTGGGGCGGCTGCCCGGGACCCGCAGGTAGGTGTCGGGCCAGCGCGCTCTCTGCTCCCGGGCTTCGCGGCCCACCCTCAGCCTGACCTACTGCAGAGAGAGGCAGAGAGAGGGAGGGAGGCCGACCCCACCCCCTCGGTCTCCTCTCCGGCTCCAAGGGGGCAGTTTCGGTCACAACTGAAGCTTCCATTCTCCTTTCCGCCACCTCTCCTTTTTCGCTCTCCTTCCAGGCTTGGGGCCGGCAGCTGTGCGCCCAGTCCCTCCCGGCGACCACAAACGCCGCTCGCCCCTGTCGCCCCTCTCTGGGCTCCGGGCTCTGGAACTTCCACCCCCTCCTATCTCCACTTTAGACGCTGCCCCCAAACTTTCCCTTTTCTTTTTCAGCTGGGCCCTTAGCCCCGTTTGGATCCTACTAGAATAATTTTTAAAAATGCCTTTTTTTTTTTCCTATCGAGGGAAGGCTAACCCAAAGAATAACTCGTTGTTTTGCAGTTTGGCAATTCAGCTCGTAATAATTTGTTCAGTATTTAATTTTCCTCCGTTCTGCGCCTCCCACCTCTGCATAGATATAAAGGCAGACCACCTCTGCCCTCCCGTTGTTGACTTGGGAACTTTTGCTTCTTATTAGTAGCCACTTGCTCTGTCCATGTGCTGAGTTCAGGATGGTATTTTGGACTAAAGAGGTTGCAAGCATTGGTTTCTTAAAAAAATCTGTTTAACTAGTTTCAGGTTTTGGTCTTTGTTGAGGTGCTTACATTCGAAGAGTTGAATTGTTTAGAGTTTCTTTTCTAATTGGCTCTATTTCTAATTTGTCAAACTCAAGGCAGCTTTAATAGTAAATGCTTACAACCAAGTGATACCATGATAAATTACTTGTAGTGTACTGAGAAATGTGTTACTCTGGTAGCATAAGCTGCTGATCTTGATGAACTTTTGGAAGTCTGATGGGGAGCTCTAATTGGAAAAGTACCTTGCAAGTCTACAGGATTTCTAAGCAGCTATGATGAAACAGATGGAATGATGGGATTTGTTTGTTTATTTGTAGCACACTTTGATTTCCTAGAAATGGGTATTGGTATTCATCATTGCTTTTGAAATGTTTGGGTAAAAATGATTAATAAGTGTAATTGATATGGTATGGTTTGGGGGATTAGATGTTTACAATTTTATTGATCTGAGTACCTTTAAATTATGTACTGGTACCTTCTGAATTATTAGACTATAAATATGAGTTATTACAGTCTTAAGATCACTTTTTTAAAAAGATTTATTTTTAGTTTATTTGAAAGGCAGAGTTACAGAGAGAGGAAGAGGAGGAGAGAGAGAGGTAGCTTCCATCTGCCGGTTCACTCACCAAATGGCCACGATGGGCCGGGGTTGGACCAGGCCAAAGCCAGGAGCCTGGAGCTTCTGGCTCTCCCAAGTAGCCCAGAGCCCAAGCACTTGGGACATCTTCTGCTGCATTCCCAGGTGCATTAGCAGCGAGTTGGATTGGAAGAAGAGATGCTGGCCTTGCAGGTGGAGGTTTAACCTGCTATGCTACGCTATAGCATCGGCCCCTAGAATCACTTTTATTTATTTATTTTTAATTTACTTATTTGAGAGGTAGAGTTACAGACAGTGAGAGGGAGAGGGAGAGACAAAGAGAAAGGTCTTCCATCCGCTGGTTCACTCCCCAAATGGCCTCAAAAGCCGGAGCTGAGCTGATCTGAAGCCAGGAGCTTCTTCCTGGTCTCCCACAGGGGTGCAGGGGCCCAAGTGCTTGGGCTATCTTCCGTTGCTCTCCCAGGCCACAGCATAGAGCTGGATTGGTAGAGGAACAGCCGGTACTAGAACCATTGTCCATATGGGATGCTGGTGCCGCAGGCCAGGGCTTTAACCTGCTGCACCACAGCGCCTGCCCCTAGGATTACTCTTAAATGAAAAATAATTTAATGGTTTTGTTTGGTAAAATTATCCAAAGTTTACTAGGAAAAGATGATTAAATTTGCATGTGTCTATGTTTTCTGGCAAAGTTAAAATTTATTTCTGGATAAGATAATAAAGTTTTTATGTCAGAGTTAAAACCAAATCTTACATAACTCATGAAATGGCAAATTTTACAGACTTTGTTCTTAATCACATTTCTTTTCCTATCAACAAAAGTTGATTAAAATTCCTTTTTCCTGTTTTTAGCTTTCTAAACCAATTTTTATTTGCGAGGCAATGAGAGACAGAGGGCACAAGTGCCCCATCTGCCAATTAAATTTTCCAAATACCTGCACATTGTAGATCCTAGGCAAGGCTGAAACTGGGAGCTGGGGACTCAGTCCAGGTCACCTATGTGGGTGGCAGGGACCCAGCTTCTACAGCTATGACCTGCTGTCTCTCAGGGTATGGGTTAGCAGGAGGCTGGGATGGAGAGCTGGAATTCAAACCCAGAGGTACAGATATGAGGTGTAGGTGTCAGCTGGTAGCCCAACCTGTAGGCCAAAAGCCTGCCTACCTCTTCTTAGCTTTTTCAGAAACAGCTTTCTTGAGATATGATTAACATACTCATTTGAAGTATACAGTTAAATGATTTTTAGTTATGCAAAACTTAGTTAGGCAACCATTATGGTAATGTAGTTTTAAAACATTCTCATCATCCCCAACCCCTGAAAGAAACACACTTGTTCCCATTAGCAATTACTCTCTATTCTTCCTATCCTATCTCCACTCTAGGTGGTCGCTAATTCGCCTTCTGTCTCAACATTTCAATATAAGTGCTATGGGCTCATAGTTTCTTGATAAGTTTTCTTTAAAAATCAATTTACATGTTTAAAATCTTTTATTTGGGTCAGGGAATAAATAACAGATCACCAGTATTGAAAGTGATTTTGTAACCCTTCTTTGTTTATACTCAGTGTAAATAGAAAGTTTGGAGAAAGGAAGAAGTTATCATGAATGGCTTCAGTGACTTTAAGAAGTATTTTGGTCATTTGGGGATGAGTAGGTAAAAGTTGGAGGAATATTTTTGCCATTGAACATCACAGCATCAGGGTTGGAAAAAGCCATAAAGGTCATCAACTTTCGTCCTGCCTTCCTCACAAATAGTTGGCAGGAACCACATGAGGAAAGTTGAATAGTAGAAGCCCGAATCTCTATGATGCATGGCTTAAAAACAACAGTATGATCTTGTAAAGCAAGAAATGGGGTTGGAAGTTCCAAGTGTTTGGGACATGAGGCAGGTGTTGTGGCATAGCAAGAGACACCCAGATCCTATAACACAAAACCTGGGATTGAGTCCTGCCCCAGCTTCCTCCTAATGTACCTGGGAGGCAGCAGCTGATAGCCTAAGTACTGAGTCCTTGCCACTTAAGTGGGAGACCCATGTGTAGTTCCTGACCCCTAACTTTAGCTTGACTGAACCCTGGCTATTGTGAGCATTTGGTGAAGAATTAGTGGATGGAAGATCTCATTCACTCTCTCTCTTGTCTCTTTCCCTTTTTCTCTACTATGCCTTTCAAATAAATAAATAAATAAATAGCTTTAAAAAAAAAACCAGATGGACTTAAAAAAAAATTGTTTCAGACACCTGCAGCATCCCATATTAGAGTGACAAGATAAGATAGGAATCAGCTTCCTGTAGTGCATACGTGGCTCAAGTATTTAGGTTACTGCCACCTACATGAATGACCTGCATTGAGTTCTAGTTTCCTGGCTTCAGCTTGGCCCAGCTCCGGCTGTTGGTTGGCATTTCTGGGGAATGAACAAATTAGCTGGGAGATATATGTCTGTTCCTGTCTCTGTCTCTGCCTTTCAAATAAATGAAAATAAATAAAAATTCAAAAAAATTGTTTAGATTTTCATATGTATGCATATGTATGTATGTACCTGTGCATTTGACATTTTGTTAGCAAAATTGGGAAAGAACTGGACATTCCCCCAACTTTGAGTAAAGCAGATGAACAGTGTATCCACATAGATAATATCTGTGTAAGAAAATCCTCTAAAAAGGCTTTTACCTAAAGATGTATAGCAAATTTATCATTTAGGTATCTTCTAGTACTATTTTTTTTAAAAAAAATTTGTATTTATTTGAAAGTCAGAGTTACAGAGAGGCAGAGGCAAAGATAGAGGTCTTCCATCCACTGGTTCACTCCCCAGATGGCTGTAGCAATGGCCGCAGCAGGGCCAATCCGAAGCCAGGAGCTTCTTCTGGGTCTCCCACGTGGATGCAGGGGCCCAAGGACCTGGACCATCTTCCACTGCTTTCTCGGGCCATAGCAGAGAGCTGGATCAGAAGTGGAGCAGCTGGGACTCCCAACTGGCGCCCATATGGAGTGCCAGCACTGCAGGCAGTGACTTTACCCACTATGCCCCAGCACTGGCCCTCTTCTTGTACTGTAAACATCTTATTTTTAAAAATCAATTTTCTTTGTAAGGATTCAGTTATTTACTTGAAAGAGTTATACACAGAGAGAAGAAGAGGCAGCGAGAGAGTCTTCCATCCTCTGGTTCACTCCCCAGTTGGCCGCAATGGCTGGAGCTGCGCTGATCTGAAGCCAGGAACTTCCTCCGGGTCTCCCATGCAGGTGCAGGGGCCTAAGGGCTTGGGCCATCTTCTGCTTTCCCAGGTCATAGCAGAGAGCTGGATCGGAAGTGGAGCAGCTGGGTCTCGAACTGGCACCTATATGGGATGCCAGCACTGCGGGCGGCGGCCTTACCCACTATGCCACAGCACTGGCCCCCAAAATCCAAATTTTTGACTTTTAAAAAATATTAACGGGCCGGCGCTGTGGCTCACTAGGCTAATCCTCTGCCTTGTGGCGCTGGCACACCAGGTTCTAGTCCCGGTTGGGGCGCCGGATTCTGTCCCGGTTGCCCCTCTTCCAGGCCAGCTCTCTGCTGTGGCCAAGGAGTGCAGTGGAGGATGGCCCAAGTACATCGGATCAGAGCGGTGCGCTGGCCGCGGAGGCCATTGGAGGGTGAACCAACAGCAAAGGAAGACCTTTCTCTCTGTCTCTCTCTCTCTCACTGTCCACTCTGCCTGTCAAAAAAAAAAA